ATGTATTTACGTAGTATATATGGATTTCTAATTGTTCTTGTTTGCACAAAAAATTAACCAAGTTGTCGGCATGAGTAATCACGTGACTTAAGGACGAGTGGTTATCAACACTGGACATGTGAACTATTGTCGATGACCATAAGAACAACTGTCGAAATTGATATATATCGATGACTATGGGCCAGTTGTCGATACACGATAGCGTTTGGTTGACGGTTATCATGATAGAGTTGGTCAACAAGGATACCGATCAAAAGAGATTGACAAATTACCGATTGAGAAACCAAATAAAGATTAAATGTCTACAGGGTGCTGATCTCAGTTTTGGTATTTCAATCACTAGTGGATAGGTCAATGAAGTCCAACAATCGTGGAAGAAGAATTAAGTTAACTCGGCAGCAAACAAGTACGAGACATCAAGGCGCGATTTTAAGGGAACAACCACCGCGAGATAAGATCATGGTAACGTGAGAACATGAAACCAAGATTCTCGGAGACGTGGAAGCATGACTAAAACTACAGAAGAACTACTCATAGGCTGATATGTTTTCAACTCTATAAATACTGGTGTTCGTCACTGAAAGTCCCCCCGGCACAACAAACAAAACCGGTTATCTTTCAATTTCTACATTGTAGTTATGGCTATAGATTCAAGATACTTTCTCGTAGATTAAATTTTGGCATGTATCTTTGCTGCAGTTCCTAAGTACTTTATTGTCGATTAAATCCCGGCGTTGTATCTTTATGTCCTCAGCTTTTGTCGTCGATTAAATTTTGGAAAAAATTGTGAACTTTTTTAGTTCCGTTTGAAGTGAAGTTATTATTTCCTTGTGTACTAGTGATAATTCATGTCCGGAATCGCCATAGAACCTGTCTCCTTTAATAAAAAAAAATCAAAGAATGATTTTCCGCGAAACAAGACCAAAGTGTGTTCCGTAATTGTGATCTTAGAAAATCGTATCACCGGTTTATGTTGATTCAGTATCTTTCAAGTCATATATGTACTTCTAAACTAATATCGCGAGAAGACATTGAATTCTTTTCAAGAACAGAGTAGGTTATTAGCTAGGTACATTCAATACGTAGATTACCAAATATAAATAAGTAGAGTCTCGAATCTTTTTAACGATGTCTCACATAATAGAAAATTCTTGTTCAAACGATTAAAGAAAAATAGATCATGCTCAATATGTATATACCCATCTCATTAACACAACATTAAGTATATATTGATGATAAGTTACAACAAAATACCAAACATTTTCTTGATTGAAACGATAAAATTATGAATCCATTGCACACATGAATTTCACATCTTGCCTTCACTAGCTGAGCCAACAAGTAGCACCATCAAATATAAAAATTGGTATGTCAATAATGTAGTAGATTACAAGTGAGCATTTGAATATGCAAATCATATTTGACAAAGAATTATAGCGTGTCACGCAAAATCAATTTTGTGAACTTATTTCAGTATAACTAGCATTATCTCTCAGCCGTTCACAAGCTTTCCAGGGACTCGAAAAAGCGCATTTTGCTATTAGGAAACCCCATAAAGCTCGCTCACGGACCAACTTGTCCGGTGTAGGATCGTCTTTGGGCTTTATCCCCTGAAAAATAAAAATATGGAAGCCCAATCTAGCTGCTTTCAGTAATATCAGCAGCCGAGGTAAGTACAGGAGAGAAAAATCATGCAAGGAAGAGACCTACTGTTTCCACGCATTGATCTAATTGCAAACCCTGTGTAATCAAACGAGCAAATGATAATCCTATAATTAACCAGCATCATAAATCTTTGAACAAAGTGCAACTTTGCTGGTTGAGGTGTATTATAGTCCAAAAGTTAGTTGGCTATTGATTCAAAGATAATTCTAAAAATAATACCTAATTGGGTTTTGATTTTTGAAACGAATAAGAAAATAAAAAGGACTTCGTCACAGATGACGCAGTCTCACGAATCTGAGCAAGCCAGGAACATAGAGGAGTCAGACAAGGAAAGTCAACAATCACGTGCCGGCTTCCTTATAATCAACAAATATCGTCATCATATTGAAAGAAAATAATTAAACCCTTGGATAAAAAAAGATTTTCGAACCCAACTTGGATCGAGACGTGCCGTGCCGGCTTCCTTGTCATCAATGAATATCATTGTCATATTGAAAGAATAATGAGACGCTTTCAAGAAAATACTTAATAGGAAGAGTTAAAAAAATGTTTAAATTTTCAATAATTGCTCATTTGCAGCATCGAAGCTCATCAAAACCATTTGTTTTTTGTTCAACAAACTCACGGTATTGAACGAGACAAGCACAAATCTCCAGTTGGAAACAAAATGAATAGAGAATGTGATTGAGGAGTTGCTTGCCAGCAGGATGATCGATCTCTTACGACTTTGAGTCGGTTTTATTATTTTTCGAGACAACTCTTAAGAAAAAGCTTGTTGTTATATATCTTTATACATATTCTTATTCGGTACCTATCATGCACTAGTCAATATCTTAATAGATTAAAAATTGGTGGTTGTCAGCTTGTTGATCAATTCAAGGAAAAGATGCTTCCAGTGCTACTCTCACATTAACCTACTCCCACTTCCCTTTTTGAAACATTTTTCTTTTACATTTTTATGCAATTTTTCATTATTTTTCTATAAATTGTCTAAAACTATAATTTATTTTTGTACTTGACAATATATAATTGACATACCAAAGTACAGTATATTACAAACATAATGCATACAGCAGGGGAGACTTTGTTGAGTTTGTTTTGGATCTCTTTCATGAGTTGTCCCTTTGGCTTTGTTGATTGCCCCTCCCACGTCTTTTTCTCCATCTTTTCTATTCCGTCGTTGAGTTCTTGTTCGTTTATCTCACATCCCCCTCCCATGTCCTTGCACGATCATTTTGACTCCTTTTTGCACTACAACTACACATGTTGCCTCTTTGACGAGGCAGAATCCAATGCTACACTCACGTTACGTAATACCATTTCTGCTCCATCTTTCAAACTTCTTCTTTTTCTTTTTTTCTTTTTTACTTTTTTTTATGTAATTGACGATAAATAATTGACTTATCAAAATACGGTACATGACGAACAGAATACGGTAGATCACAGTAAACCGTATGGAACGACTTGATCTTGATATAAGCTAAGGGTATTTCTACTCACATTAATCATATACCTTTGTCACATATGCGCTTCCAAACTTATAACGGGAGAAAACGTTGAACTTTTTTCATGAACAGTAGGTTATCAGCCAAGTAGAGTCTCAAACTTTGTTAGTGATATCTCATATAGTAGAAAATCTTTCTTCAAAAGATTAAAGAAAATGACTATGCTCAATATATATACACCCATATCACTGATAGAGATATCAAGTATATTTTATGATAAGTTATTACAAAATACCAAATATTTGTTGATAGAAAAAATAAAAATATGAATTCATTGAATATATGTAATTGGCACCTTGCCTTCACTAGCTGAACCAACAAGGAGCACTACTTAATACGAATATCTATATGTACATAATGTAGTAGATTACAAGTGAGCACTACTCAATCTTTCGGCCATTCACAAAAGCGCATTTTCAAAGCTCACCCATGGGCCAACTCGTCGGATGTAGGAATTGTCTTTGGGTTCATCGTCTGAAAAATATATGTGGAAGCCGAAGCTAGCTGCTTTCAGTAGTAAAATTTGTGGAAGCCCAATCTCTGAACAATGTGCAATCTAAGTCCAATACTTCTTATCATATTAGATGTAGTCCTAAACCTTCTCGAGGAAGTGTAATATGATCTCTCCTTTTCGATTTTCCGACTCTCCCTGCATGGCTCTCTGTTCCCGTGACCGACTCTTCGTTTGGTGATGAAATATGAGTGGCAAAAAGAAGTAGCTACTTCATTTTTACCCCCTATTTTATCTTCCCAAATAGAAGAAAGATTTCTCTCTGGGTTATCGCGACCCTTCACTTCTATTCACTTTCATCAATCCAAATGCAATATGAGTCAATTTTAAGAGTTGTTTCGAGGGAGAAGTTTGGTGCTATATTACATCTCTAGAGAAGTGTCTAAGATGACAAAATAAAGAGGTTTCCAACTTGACTACATCCTGTACGGAAGGAAGATTTCTGGCACCTCAATCTCCAGCCACAGAACCTCCATTAGGCATGTTCGCACGAAGTTTGTCTTGTGATTGGGCCAACAGCCCGCCCGCATGGCATCTAGCAAAGTTGTCACTAAAAGCCCAGATCGGCTAAGCTTATTTTGTTCATGAAACCCACATTTCGAGGTTCTTTCGGGCCAAGGCTGGATGGGTAATAGTTTTCGAAACTCCCTCCAAGCATATCTAATGAGCCCACCTGACTCATAACTAAATTTTGTTTAAATTTGCTTGTAAGTGACTATAAAAGGTTAGGTGGAGTCCAAGACATTCCTAATGAGCGACTCATAACCAATCTTGAATCTTGATAAGACTCTCAATTCTTTCTGTTCATCCGGGGAAGCCGTTTTTTTCTTCGTAAGGAAAAAAGATTCAAGATATGAGGTAATAAAGTTATTCTATCTGTATCTAAGATGACATTATAATTTCAATATGTACTCTGAAGATTGAGACTACTACTACTGTCGACCTAAATTTTCTGATTCAAATTAAGCAAGGAGCCAAGTCCTGTGCGCTCGATAAATTAACTACGATGTAGATGCATAAATTATGATTTGGGATAATAAATACTCACACTAAACTATTGGCAATAAGTACCATCGAAACTTACATAATTGCTAATTACATTTTTTTAATGTTTCAAGACAATAATAGATGTCAACACCCAAGTTAGGTGTCCCCCCCCCCCCCCAACCCTACGTAATTGTTATTGGGTTTTGAAAAAATGGACGTTATTATTTATTTATGCAGAGCTTGTTATTATATATTCATATAGATGTTTTTTATTCTATACCTGTCATCCCCATGTCAACATCTTAATACATTAAAATTGGTGGGTTGACATTGCAAGGGCCCCCCGTTTAGCTTAACATCGAAAGTAATAGTCTTCACACGTTATGTTATCCAATTCACCCAAATTTCCACAAAACTTATTTTCTTTAAACACGCTTCAAGGAAATCCCACTCTATCCTGTCATAGGCTTTCTTAATGTCAAGTTTCAAGATAGCCCCGAACATTCTCCTCCTTTTTCTTCTCGTGATTGATGAAGTATTTCTAGCTCTAACAAGATGTTATCTTGTACATGTCTCCCTTGCACAAAAGCACTTTGCTTGGGCCTAATCAATTCAGGAAGCCAGGGCTCGAGCTTTTGGCCAACGCTTTTGCAAAAACTTTGTGTGCAAAACTGCATAAGCCTATAGGACGATATGGATCAAGCCTTTCAGGGTTGGAGACTTCAGGAATCAAGAGTAATTTGTGTTCTGTTTAACAAAGGATTGAGGGTCCCTGATTCAAGAACTACAGTACTTCCTTGAAAACATCTTTCAGTACCACATCCTAGTTCTCTCTATGAAACAAACCTTTCGTTCCATCAGGCCCAGGTGCTTTAAGGGATCTCAGTTCAAAAACAGCCTATTCACTTCTTCCAAGTTGACAGCTTGAGTTAGGGAACTTTTCATGTCCTGAGTCACCAAAATAGGACAATGATCAATTACTGGAAGGAAAATGCAACGTCCTATAGAAGTGCACAACTTCCTGAAATACTGCAGTGCCATCTGTTCTCTCTGTTGGGGTCCTCTGCACCAACTGTCATAAGGAGTCCTGAGAATCGAGATCCTGTTTTGCTGTCTTCTTTGAATGGTATTTGCGTGGAAGAGCTTTTCCCAACACAACGGATCAATTCAAGCCCTCATGCCTCAATACATTTCCTGTTGGCGCCACATTTCTCCTTCCGAGATTAAGTTAAGCTTTCCAGTTCCTATCATGCATAACTCCATTGCTATTTATTATTTGCTGTAACTCAGAACTGAGGGCCTCCACTGAACGTCTTGTATTAGACAATTTTGTTATACTCCAACTAGCTAATATCTCTTAGACATGTTCTATTATTCCAAACAAAGTTTTTCCACTGCAATAGCCAGAATTCCAGGCTTCACAAACTAATTTCTGACAATCTTCAGAATTTGTTATATCAGTTAATAGAACTAGTGCTAATTCAGGCTGTACACATAACAAAGTGTCCTATAAATGCACTTAGAATAATCACTGATCATGATGATACTTTTAGTAACTGCAGATGATGAACCATACTTAGATTATGAAAAATAGGTAATGCTTTTGAGAAACATGTGTAGAAACCCAACAGAACAAGTTCAAAAGGGAAAAAAACAGGAAGCAAACGATGAGGAAAGAGTATCTGCCATTTTTATTTTTTTTTTGGTTGAAGTATCTGCCAATTTCATTTGTTTTTAAATGCAATCAATTCAGCTAACATTAATATGCTATAAGAGTGTCTAATTTTTTTGTGTACATGATGACTGATGAAATCCATTTTCAGTGTCGCTCCCTCTATTGGAAACACAATGCTATGAAGAGCAAAGCGCGGAAACACAATGCTATGAAGAGCAAAGCACTTTCGCACCCGACCCATGATTTCTCATGACGAGCAACAACCGGCCTTCTTGACAGCCGAGACATCGTCCCTGTTCCCGACGTTGATCGTCTGTCCCTTTGGCAGGGCTGCAGGGTCGTCGCCGACGTCGAGAGCCTTCCTGCTGACCACACGGTAGATCTGAGTCAACACTTCTGTGAAGGCGTTCTCGACATTGAGCGCCTCCAACGCAGATGTCTCCATGAAGAAGGTGTGCTCTTGCTCGGCAAATGCTTTGGCATCATCGAGGGAGACCGCACGGAGATGGCGCAGGTCCGCCTTGTTCCCAACGAGCATGATCACAATGTTGGCCTCAGTGTGGTCTCGGAGTTCCTTTAGCCACCTCTCCACATTCTCGAACGTGACGTGCCGAGTGATATCATAGACTAGTAAAGCGCCCACAGCGCCTCGATAATACGCACTTGTGATCGCACGGTATCTATGTTAAACACAACAGATTATCAGACAAATATTTATCGCCTCAAAAGAAGATTAGATATAATTAAGAACAGAACATGAACAACTTCCTATTCCCAAGCAGACCTCTACTCGCTGTAATGTTACATTAGCCAATAATGATCTCTACCAAACACACAAATATAAAATGCAGAATGTTTCTTAGTTCATGTAAATTCATGCCTGATCAGAAATTCAATCCAACTCTTTGAATGACAAATTTGGGAAGAACCAAACTCTGAATAAACCGCAATTGACCGCACAATGTATGCAGACCGCAAGTTAGCCATTGAGACAGAACTGCTTGCCCGTGACGTGCAATCAACAATGCTAGTGTAAATGATTTCTTCACCCGTTAGGAACTTAAATTCATTGATGACATGTATTAGCTTGCGTCTCAAGATCTGTAATATCCAAATTCTCTTCTCAGCATATACACGAATCAAGGTGGGTTATTCCGTCCAAACATTGTCAATCTTACCTACCAGACATCCACACAAATCCGACATAAACCAGGTTTAAGAAAATCAAATCATTTGTAAACAGAGTTCATAATAAGGATTACATGAGGTTTGCCTAAGATCTGATTAGCAGATTCTGATTTCGAAAAGATAGTTCTTAGAAAACACGACATCCATCTAAGAATGTTAGTCCCAATCAAAAGCAGTCGAATCTATAATTCGTAATGAATGGCAATCCATAAAATGGAGGAGTAGATGTAGATATTGTGAGAATGGCTCAAACCTTTCTTGGCCTGCAGTGTCCCAAATCTGCGCCTTGACAACCTTATCATCGACCCGAATGCAACGAGTCCCGAACTCGACCCCGATCGTGGATTTGGATTCCATGCTGAACTCGTTCCTCGAAAACCTTGACAGCAGGTTCGATTTGCCGACGCCGGAGTCCCCGATCAGCACTACCTTGAACAAATAGTCGTAGTCGTCGTCCGACCGATACGTCCCCATCGAAAACCACAAATCCCAGTAACCAAAAAAGATTGAGGAATTTCTCTCTTGAGTTTGTCAATAACTCGGTTGAGAATTGTCAACCCTTTCTTGGTTGAGATGGAGAATGCCCGGTGAGATTCGAGGAAGCATGAGAAAGAGAGAGGGAGCCAAAGAAAGACAAACCTAGAATTATGGAGGGAAATATATACTAAAGTTGGAAATTACCGAGACGATTAGTTTTGATGGAAGCTATTCTTGGAAGGTGGCCTAAAACGACTAACGAGAATGAAGGGTGATCTTCGTGGCTCGTGATTAGAGACGTGATGCGTTCCCCACTAAGTCATTGAGACGACCAAGAACAGGTCTTCTCGCTTTCTCTCCTGCATGTCTGTCTGAACACTTGACTCAGACAAACAAACGAGTAAAATTACTAGATTATGCGTGGACATCATAGTATATTAGTTAGGTTTCGCTTCGATTTAGTACTCGAGTTTTGATCTCTCTTAGGTCATTTTTTCACCCTCTTTTCTACGTTCAAATCTCCTAAAGCATGATGTCACTGGAAGGTCAATCGAAATCGAGGTGACATTTGGTGAAAGAGGAGCTAGAGTTGAAGTGGTCACGAAGAAAGTTCTTAACATGCTTTTTTCCTTTTTAATGGGTTGTTAGGGATAGCAAAGCCGAATAGAACTCGGTTCTTGACTGGTCTAACTTATACAGGATACAAATTTATTTTTGATTGTCCGTGGCGGGTTTAGGCAGTTGAATGCAATCGGGTTCTTGATTTATCTAACTTATCTAGGATCCATTCTAGCTGAAGCAGTTATCTTGAAACGACTTATTCTCGATCAAGATCTTTTCTTTCGTGACCCAACAATCACCAGTCTCCGAGGAACAGATCCTAGGGATTTCTAGAAATACCCATCCTCAATATATTAAAGTTGAACAGGGTTATTTAGGCAGTTGAATCTAGACCTAATTATATAACTTTAAAATATTAAGTCCCTGGAAGTTGCAATGGCCCAATTCCCTAAAAAACCCCTAACTTTAGCCTTTGTCCCAATTATATCCCAAACTTTTTTTGTCTCATAAAAAACCCCAAACTTTACTTTTGTCCCAAATCTACCCCGTTTACTATTTATCCAATTTTTAATATTATTTTCATTTTTTCGAATTTTTTTTTCTTTTTCTTTTCTTTTTTTTTTTCACCTTCAACCTCCGGCGGTCGCCGGTCCGGCGACTGCCGAGGCGAGGGCCGGCGAGGTCGGCCCGCCGCCGCCGGGCGAGGTCGGCCTCGCCGTTCTGCCGGGCGAGGTCGGCCGAGGCCGAACCTCGGATTCTTTGCCGGGCGAGGCCGACCTCGCCGGTGCCGGCGTGAGCCGAGCCTCGCAGATCTGGCGAGGCTCGGCCTCGCCCTTGCCGGGCGAGGCCGACCTCGCCGGCGGCCGAGGGGGCCGAGCCTCGCGCCAGATCGTGAGGTCCGCCCGCCGGCACTGGCGACGCTCGGCGCCCGCCAGCCGGCGAGGCCGACCTCGCCGGCGGCGGCGAGGTCGGCCGAGGCCGAACCTCGCCGTTCTTGCCGGGCGAGGCCGCCTCGCCAGCCTCGGCCGGAGGCCGAGCCTCAGATCCGGCGAGGCTCGGCCTCGGCTGCGGGCGAGGCGGCCGACCTCGCCGCGGCCGGCGGGCCGAGCCTCGCCCAGATCTCAGTGAGGGTCGCCGGCCGGCGGTAGACGGCTCGGCCTCGCCCGGCAACGGCCGAGGCCGACCTCGCCATCGGCCCTGCTCGGCGGCGAGGTCGGCCGAGGCCGAACCTCGCGATTCGTTGCCGGGCGAGGCCCGACCGCGGCGGCCGGCGGGGCCGATGGCGAGGTCGGCCTCGCCGGCCGCGGGACCGACCTCGCCGGTCCTCGCCTCACGGCCGTCGCCGGCGACCGGCGGAGGTTGAAGGTGAAACAAAAAAAAAAGAAAAGAAAAGAAAAAAATTCGAAAAAATGAAAATAATATTAAATATTGGATGAATAGTAAACGGTAGATTTGGGACAAAAATAAAGTTGAGGTTTTATGAGACAAAAAAGTTGGGATATAATTGGGACAAAGGCTAAAGTTAGGGATTTTTTAGGGAATTGGGAAGTTGCAATAGGTATTGTAGTGCCAGTTTGGCATTGGTTCTAAATCTAGAAAAAAGGAGGATTTGTCACTCTTTCTAGACTTCATCGTTACATTCTCTTCCCAAACTGTAAATTAGGGAAAGCAAATTTCGAGCTGATAAATTTGTTATTAGACTTAAAACGAGGTATAAATCACATCTACATAAAAAGGATTAACGTTCCAAAGCAAGCGTCGCATCCACTCATTGGAGATGGGGCCAAAAAAGACTTGAAGATTGACACACGTGAACAAGGAAACTTCAGGCATGTGCAAACCCTACCAAATTGAGAGTCAAATTCGATTGAGGGTATGATTGTGGATTTGATTGAAAGAAATAGTGAATGTTTGGTCTCTTTTGGAGTGGGTTCATGACCTTATCTAGACATTCTTTATCAAGAAAGAGATTTTCCTTTTTCTTTCTTTTCTTCTTTTTTGGCAACTAAGAAAGTGCTTCATTCGGTAGCAGGAATCCCTGCAGGGAGGATCAGGCTTTGAATTCTCAAATTAAAGCAGAACAGAGAAGATGGAGGACAAGAGCCTAGTCAATGGGCAAATGCCCAGTCGCTCCTGCATCCGAGCAAGCCTTGCTTCATCTGCGGCATTGATTCGATTTGCGCCAGGCGTTGGAGAACCACGGCTCTTCTCCGACTAATGAGTAGAGGCGAGGATGTTGAGTACGCACTAATGAGTAGTTGCTTTAAGCCGAACATTCTGTTATGGATATGAAACTGTCTATGCTAATACCAAGATGATTATAGATGTTGATCGCCTTTTTTAAAAAAAAAATTCTTATCTAGAAAGAAGGGTAAATGATACTAATAGATTCTGAACTTTGGCCCAATATGCAATATGGTCCCTGAACTTTAAATTGATTCAATGCGATTCTTAAACTTTAGCCCAATGTGTAATGTCATCCCTGAACTTTTAATTTATTCAATGTAGTCCATGGACTTTTGGTACATATTCAATTTAGTCTCTAAAATATATGAAAATGTTCAGTGTCGTCCCTGAACTTGAATTAATGGAAGGATAACATTGAACATTTTCATACAGTCTAAGGACTAAATTGAACATATACCAAAAATTCAAAGACCACATTGAACAAATTCAAAGTTCATGGACGATATTGCACATTGAGCTAAAGTTCAGGGACCGCATTAAACAAATTTAAAGTTCGGGGACCACATTTCACATTAGGCCAACGTTTAGGGACTATATGTGTCATTATCCCCTTAAAGGAACCAAGATACGGGTGAGTGCACCCATTCCGGAAGGCACATCTTCATGGGTTGTATAGCTAACTAAGTTAACAAGTACCAAACTTTGCCTAACATTTCCATTGATCGCACAATGGCAGGCGGAGAAACTTTGCTTCGGCAAGACGAGATGAGAAAAATTTGCAATACCAAGCTCAAAGGTGAGATTCAAGAATTTTTAATGAAATTTGATAGGTTATAATACTCATTTCGAGATGAAGACCGTTGCATATTGCTAATCCCTTCCCTTACGTAACCGAATTACTTATGCTCCATTTATTTTGCGAAAAATGAATGATTTGAAAAATATTTTCTTAAAATTAATCGCTTGTATTGCTTGAAATAATTAATCAATTGAAGATGTTTCATTGTCGACAATAATTTATGTCTAAACATTCTCATGTACATGATATAAGTGATCATTTTTAAGAAAATATTTTCTCAAATCATTTATTTTTTGCTAAACAAACAATGCCTTAACAATTATCTTGATTATCATAGACAGCAATTATATCCATCCATGAATTATGCAGGGACTTTTCGTGAATTTTTCTTTTTAGATAGGTTGAAGATGTTAATTTTTCCTTATGAATAGTACCCTTACGTTGCACAGCTGAAAATAATATGTTTTTGGAATAAGTGAATTAGAAGTCCTAAAATTTGTTATGAAAATGTAATTAAGTTCTAAAACTTTCAAAAAGTGCAATTGAGTCCTAAAACTTATCACAAAAGTGCAATTGAGTCTTGTAAATTTTAAAAAGTGCAATCAAGTCTTAAAACTTGTCAAGTTGATGCAATCAAATCCTAAAATTTGTTAAGTTTGTGCAATCAAATCCATCATTCCATTAACTCCATCCAACTTGATAAACGAAAAATACTAACAAGTTTTAGGACTTCCAGTACACTTATCCATAAATAAAATACAAATCTTCATATATCTAAAATATGCGTAAAATATATAAACGATAAGTATTTGAGAAGTAAATTGTTACTTCCAATTAGAGTCAATATCAGTTATTTTTATTCAATATTATATCACTCTAAAGCCATTAAAAGATTGGGCTAAAGAAAGCAATTTCAAATGGAATTGCTTTTCTCACGTGAACAAAGCTTAACATACTTTTATCGTTTCACACTTAAAAAGAATTTACTTATGGTTAATCGATAGAATTTTTCTTCTAAGATCCATTAGTTTTCACCGGTGCTTGAGGATCCAACAATTAGACGCCAACGACATATTATACACATACGTGAGTATTCCCATATATCTCATTAAATAAGATTAAAATTGTCCAAACGAGTGGGCATATTGATTATATAGTAGATATATCCATTTTGTTTCAAATTGGAAAAATAACACAAATAACCCCTAAAATTGGCCCAATGTGTAAGGTCATCTCTGATTTTCTAATTCGTCCGATGAAATATTTGAATTATTCCTAAATGCTCAATCTAAATCATCAACTTTCCATAAAAAAAAAAGTGAAAATTTTTCATAATTATACTATTGCTCGGATTTTAGAATATCTTTTCATTTCAATTCATTTCCAAAATCAACAAAAAATATGGCTGTCTTTTTATTAATTTTTTGGTCTTTACAAATATAACGATAGTTCCATTTAAGTATATTTTAACTTATAATTTAGTAAAAGTAAAACCTCTTTTAGAGTTATATCAAGTTGATACTTGTATTGTAGTAAAACTTATAAAGACCGAAAAGATAAACGGTTAATACCACGAAAAACCTCAAACTAGTACACTTGTAACAAATTTACCCCAAACTATTTTTTTGACCACATAAAACCCCAAACTTGTACACTTGTGACAATTTTATCCCGAACTATTTTTTTGATCACCAAAAACCCCAAACTAGTACACCTGTAACAGATTTACCTCTGTTAGTTTTCGTTAAATTTTACTGTTAAATTGCTAAATTTGATGACACGTGGTAATTGACGTGTACCGGTTTGAGGTTTTACCCTCTATTTATCACAAGTTTACCAATTTGTGATTTTTTATGATATTAATCCAATTTAACGAATACTAACATAGGGTAAATTTGTCACAAATGTACCAGTTTAGAGTTTTTAGTGGTCAAAAAATTAGTTCATGGTAAAATTATCACAGGTATAGCAGTTTGGGGTTTTTGGTAGTCAAAAAATTAGTGTAGTAAAACTTATAAAGACCAAAAAAAAAAAAAAAAAAAAAAATAACCCAAAGATAAAAAGGTAAACAAAAAATGGTATTTTTTTTGTTGATTTAGGAAATGAATGAAATGAAAAGATTCTAAAATATGGGTAATATTGTAATTATTAAAAATTGTTAATAGTATCGAATGACTGATTTGACTTTATTATGGAAAGTTAAAACACTAGATTGAACAAATTATTGAAGGTTTAGGAATTAGATTGAACATTTATGAATAGTTAAAATATCACATTGAACAAATTAAAAGTTCAATTTATAACATTGCTCATTGGATCAAAATTTAAGGATCATTAGTGTTATTATCCCTTCAAATTAGTCTCACTACGATGAAAACTTGTCAGTGGAATGGGCTATGGGGCAAACATATAAGTGAATCAAGAATGGGCCTTCAATGACCTAATGACCGTGTGTGCTCCCCGTTGTTACATAGGAGAAAATTTCACGTATATTTTCACAATTAAAAATTTCCCCAAAAATTTCTATTCATTTTCATTTTAATCTTTTTCTTTAATCTGGTGTTTATATTTGGACCTAATGACCGCCGTGTGTTAATGGTTTTCTTTGTTTAATCCCACCATTTCGATTTTTGTTTTTTTGTAATTTTATGAAAATTGATATCCGTTTTAGCCTATCTCTCTCCTTTCTTTTTCTTTCATATTTGTCTAATTAACATGCTAGTCTTCTCTTGGAAATTGTCAATTTGTCCCCCGAAATGAACAATGAATGCCGAAAAGACCCGTCACCTAGAACTTGCGTTCAATCTACCTCCCGAATCAATTAATATTGCTTGATGCTACCCAACTTGATAATACAACCCGGCGAATCATAGCTCTGCCAAAGCTACAAATTCTCAGATCTGCTCTTGCTATTGAACACGTCAAATGCTTGTGACAACGAGACACTTTTTTTCCTCCAGACGAGGACCGGATCGAGTCATACTTGAGGTAATTTAAGCAAATTCAAGGGGGCAAATTGACATATATTTAGGGGGCACGAGGGATTAAAATAGCATTTTCTGTCCTTTTCGAGGGGTGAATTTGAATTCAACCATCTCTTCATGGCTCCAAAACCCCTCAGCTTCGTTTCAGACACCGTGAACGCGACGCACTGCCTCCTTAAAACGCACCGGATTTCGACCATCTCTTTCTCTTTCTCTCTGCTTTTTGTTTCCATAAAGTCAAACCTCGTGGGGTTTGAATCTTTTCGGACGAACCCTCTTCTGGATTTACGCTAACTTGCGGATGCAAGCCGTTGAAAAAGTCAAAGGTAAAGGACAATGTTGATGGAAGAATTGTCTACAAAACGACAGCTCAACCGACGATGCGAGTGGGGATTATGTCACGAGGGCAAGAAAAATGTGTGACCAGACCAGTCGTATTTCAAATTATGGGTGAAGAAACAAGAGCCCTTATTGCATTATGTATAAAAAAAACCGATGGATTAATCCATAAACATAAGTTTCTAAATTTTGCCACGTGGGACATTAATATCCGTACTTTTTTTCTCCTCTCATCAATATCTTCAAATATGTACTCGCGACTTGAAAAAACATTATGTCACGATTCTGGCCATAACATCCATTTCAAATCGTAGATGACGTTTTTCACGTGCCGTCGCGTCGAAATTCTAACGATCATTAATACTAGAATCGTATCGTCGAGTGCTTTAAGGACGCTTATGAAGCATATTTCACAAGAAACTGTTCGATTTTTATAGTGATTATCACTTCACGATTGAAATTAGTGTACTGAAAAATCTCATCTTCCATCACTCAGCAAGATCTAATTACAAAAGGAAAAAACCACCAGAAAGCCTATAAAAAATTCCAAACTTGTACCTATATAATACATTTACCCTTCATCAAGATTTCGTCAATGAGCATCGTTAAAAATTTGCCTACATGAAAACCGGAATGCTAACTATAATATTGGCATGGCACCCACATGACTTAAATGAAATAAAATAATAATGTTTTGGCTAGAAAAACTTATCTGACTAAATTTTAAATTAAGAATATATGTATCACACAGATATAAGTTCGGGATTTTTTATTAACGGTGGCGTAGTTCAGAATTTTTTGTGACTTTTTTCGTGATACAAATGCTTAATTTTCGAAGGGAGAAAAATCATGTATCGGGTGAAATGGACGTTTCACGACATACTTTCTCTCCAAGGACGAAGAATAGTCTGCTCCTGATTTTCGTGTGCTTAGTAAGTTCACTGCATCGAGACAAGTCGCCCGGTCTCTTTAGCTGGTCAACACCATGACGTCACTTATTCAATGACAGGAAGCCACCTCGAAGATGGGGCGACAACATAAATTGCAAGGTTGCCCAATTGACAATTCCTTTGTTCTTTCCTCCAAGTTTTGTTCATATGCATCAAGATTGTGATGCTTACTTAGCAAAAAGAATAGCCCCACGATGTCAAAATCATCTCTCCTTTGTATAAAGTTTCTCGCCATAATGCTATAATGGATAGTGTAAAGTATTAATGATGTACCAAGTACTTAAGATGTAAAGTGTAACATCAGGGGTTTTGAATCGAATCGGAGACGGACCGAGGAGGCGGGTGTCGTCGCGTCCTTGACTCTAGCTATTCGGTGCTTGATGTGATTGTCGATTATAACTTACAAAATTAATTTCATATAAATTATTATATTCTCGTCGAGGTACGGAAACCGTACCATTCATCTAATATAAGTTTCAGCATATTTCACCAAATACGATGACGTGATTATCAGATGTATTGCTCGCCTTTCTGAATATACCCTTCGCCTAATTTAAGTTTCCGCATGTTCCACTGAATACGATTTACGAGAATCTGCGTGAGCATTTAATTTGAAAAACATATTGGCGTGAAGAAAATTTCACGGAAAGGACCTTAATTTAGTTATCTTTAATTGTCAGCAATTGTAACTACTTGCTTTCTTAAACCAATAGCTTCTAAAATTGTCTTGTGGAATGGATGCTATCAAGATTGTACTTGTCCAAATAACTAGTGTTGTCCTCAAGACGCCTTATAGCAAGATAAAGAAAGAAAGAAAAAGTAGGCAGACTTCCTAAAAACCCTACCAGCCGGTAAGTATCCAAATCCATTCCATCTCCTTATCTGTCTCTCTCTCTCTCTCTGGTTCCTCTCACCTTCCTCTTCCAATCTGTCCCCACAAAGATAAAAAAAAAACCCTTTTGCTCAAAATGAATTTATAGTCATTAAGGCCAACTTGGACACAAACTCTCCCCACACTTCTTTCATCAAACATATATAGACCCACACACACACACAGAGACACACACACAGCCTCCTTGTTGTCTTCCATGGTTCCACCATTCCAGACTGAAGAACTGCCTCTCAACGAGAATGATTCACAGGACATGGTCATCTACCACGTCCTGAACGAGGCCATGTCCCAAAACAACTCGTCCCTCCCGCATCCGAACCGATCCGGGCCCGTGCCGGGCGGCGGCTCCCTCTCGCCGTCCCGGGGCATCGCGAAGAAGCACTACCGAGGGGTCCGGCGCCGCCCGTGGGGGAAGTACGCGGCCGAGATCCGCGACTCGGCGCGCCACGGGGCCCGGGTGTGGCTCGGGACGTTCGAGACGGCGGAGGAGGCGGCGCTGGCTTATGACCGGGCGGCGTTCCAGATGCGCGGCGCCAAGGCCCTGCTCAATTTCCCGGCGGAAGTGGTGGCCGGGTCGATGCCGATGGAGAGGTACCACCCGAGCCAGAGCCGGACCTCCTCCGGCTCAGCCAATTCGGACAGGAGAGGCGAGGCGCATCCGTCGGATTCGGAGGTTGGCGTCGCCGCCGGAGGAGCATCCCGGGATGTGGCCACGGACCACCTTGAGAAGGTGCTGGATGTGTTCTGAGAGGTTGAGCGTCTCTGGTCACTCGCGACTCTTGCGTGTAACCTGTGCCAGGGACTATGGGAGAAAAGGTTTAATTTATTTTCTTGCGACTTAGGATCATTTTTTTTTTTTTGGTGTCGCAGAAGTTTTTCATGAACATTTTTTTGGTCATCTTTATTTTCAATGTGGCCCAATGCGTGGTCCATTTTGTCTAAATGGTGAGCAAATCGGGGCGTCTCTCTCGGGATCATTATATCTCTATCGGTCCCTTTTACGACAACAATCGGAAGGACCCTATTGAACAACTTCGCAAATACAAGGAGCAGCGCAGCTACCTGGAGGTATAGACATTACAAAGACAAAATGCATTTTGGTCCATGCAAGGGTTTTTGGTTTGCTGATTCATATGTTGTAGTTTTAGGTTATTGCACTTTGGCTACATAGTATTGTCAAAGTAATGCGAACAAGTCCAGGTGTAAGCTTTTAATTGGGCTATATATCTTCATGCTCTTCAATTTTTTTGAGCAATTTCTCTTGAATGTACTTCAATGGGTACATCTGATTATCATGTATTTAAGGGGCTTTGATTGTGAAAAAGGAGAAATGGGGATGATATGAATATTTCTCTATATTTGAGTACAAAATCACTTCATTCAGAGGAAAAGTCCTTTTTCTTTTATGATATTCAAAGAGAAAAAGTCTCGTTCTAGATGATGGCAACGCTTCTAAGTGGACCAAACTCGTGACACTCCTAATAGAGAACTATTTTCTCATGAAAATTTAAATAATTTATTTTGGGTATATCTTTTTGCCCTTGAATATTAACTCCATTGTCAGAAACTTCAAATTGTAAAAACAAAGTTAAGAGAAAGAATTATCATTTCTCTATTGATACAATTCGTCTATCATGATCGAGCCGATTTCATTTCATCCTCTACCTCACTGTATCACCTGCTATAAATTTTTTATTAGCCGATATTATTACATTTATCGCATTTAAAAAAGCCGTAATTAGGTTGATTCTCCCCGAAAGGTGGCTGAAAATACCCTTGTGAATTGACCCAAATCGACATCACTTGGGAGATTTTTCTTCACCTCGTGCAGGAATTGGTTCGTGGAGGGGGAAACTGAGAGGGAGGTTCGCACAACCAACATTTAACTGTTCATGTAATTAAAATACAAAGCATAATCCAATTAGATCTTAATTAGATCTTTGTGGGGCACACCCACTACGGTCAAAATCCAATGCCAGCCACATGAATTTTCAACGTTAGCGATGATATATCGATATTGATGGAAGACAAACCTCTCACGGTACTTCTTAATTTGGGTGATGTAACTTAATTAATTAGGATTAACTGGTAGAAAAAAGTATGTTGACGTTGACCGACGGCCCTTTGGCTTTCGTCCCTCTTTGCCCATTTGTTTCGTGGACTCGCGCTATGCAAGTTGGTCTAGGCGGGGTCTAAGTCCGGGTCTAAAATTTTCTATGAAGATCGATCGGGTTTAGACGAATCTCGTTGAAGGGATCGTGTTGGAAAATGTAACGTTCAACCCAAACCGAATTCACTTTTACACTTCGAGCCTCGTGAGCCGGAGTGGTCCGGCGGGCTACGAGGTCCATTGTTGGCTCGGCGTACGAGAGGCCTATTTAATTTAATGGACCCTATTAATTTGATGGACCATTTGGTTTGGTAGGTTTGTCACATATTTAATTTGATGGACCCTATTAAATTAACTATGGTCTGAACTTTTTTTAGATGCGAGCAAAACGGCCTCCGTTGCTATGGACGATGCTCGTATCATGATCGTTGTATGTTCGATTTGTGCAATGAAGAAGAGTTGGTTCTATTTCGTTAGGCCTTGAAAGTAGAAGAGATGGTGTGATCATCATGAATTCAATTATTGAATTTGCCTGAGAATTCAGTCTCAAATTTAATGCATGAATGCAATTCTCAACTTTCAAACTTTGAGAATGTAATCCTAAACCTTTGTGTGAAATTCCGAAGTAGTCTTTTTGATCAATTGCCGTCGGAAATATCTAACATAGCGTGAGTAAACTTGTCCATGTAGTGTGCCATGTAAGATGGCCAACAATGACTGGACGCCACATTAGCAAATTTCCGATGGCAATTCATCGAAAAGACTGCATTGAAATTTCGAGCAAAAGTTTAAAATTGTATTGATAAAATTAAAAAGGTCAGGACTGAATTAATATCAGTACAATAAATTTAGATGAAGGAATATCGTATGTATATAAATAGCATATAAATTCCGTAAATAAGGCCTACTGCAAATTTATTGAGCTTCTCTTTTTGACTTGGCCGCCTTCTTCTTTCTTTTTCATTTTTTATTTGTGACTCTAGATTTTATGCTAGAGTCATTTAAAAGAGATTTTTTTAACTCTAACTTTTGTCCGAAAGTCAATTTTGAGATCGTTGGACATCCACCTAGACATGAAAATCATGTTAGATCTTTTATGTGCACGATCAGAGCTTATAATTGGCGAGCCCCACCGACGTGGTTTTGATGATGTGCACGTTTTCATTTCAACCACATGTTTTTGGGCCATGTTATTTCGTCTCATTCCGACCTCGTTGAGACATCCATCTCTAATCGTGACTATGACTCGTGTTTTATTTTGTCGGGCGATGTAACATAAGCACGATATTTTTCATTCAGGGAAATCGCTGAAGAAGCATTTATGTCCATGCACGTCACACGTATTTAGTTGGACCTATTTTTACTGCAAAAAAAAAAAAAAACATAAGCCAATGAATTGGGTACCGATTGAGTTAGAGTAACAACAAAATGTTTGTGCATCGAGCATAAGAATGCCTAATTGGAATAAGAGTACAACAAGACACGACATCAACTAGCTTGACCTGTTGGTTGGTAATGTCTCGTGTATTTCTTTCAGTGCTTTAAAGCGAGTTATCGGATTGCATTTTGTTTGGAAATTGTTCTAACAAAATATTGATCTTTTCACGGACTTTGCCCTAAAGAGGTCAATTGCCAACTTGTTTATTTAAAAAAAAAATGTGATTTTATGAGAATACTGCTATTTATTCTAAAAACTTAAATCATTAGAGGAAAGCAGAATTTGATAGTTACATATTCTAACAGAAGCATCTCCTTGTGTTTTTTGTCCTTCGACAACTCATCCTTCCTAATCATCGACACTAAGCTTTTGGATTATCTCTTACACGTCTCTGTCTATTCCAACTACTGTTTCTAGTCGCGTCTTGCTTATCCATTCTCAAGAGTTGCGAAAGTTTGAAAACGACATTCTTTAGAAGTTTGCATACCTACAAAATGAAAACGGACGGACAGACATAAATTTGTTCTCGTTATATACTTAGGTCCCGTTCGTTTCACGAAAAATGTGAAAGAAGCTATTTTTCAGGAAAATAACATAATTTTTCAATATTCAGCTGAAATCTGAAAGAGATCCAGAAAATATTTTCCGCCATTTAGTATGAAAAATATGATTTGATTTTCCTCCATGCACTACTTTTAATACTTTTTTATTCTTTTAAAATTGATTTTTAAATTTTTTATTTTTCCTTCTTCTCCGGCCAGTCGCTGGCCATAGGCGAACTCGAGCCTCGTCATAGGTTGGCAAACTTGAGCCTCACCACAAGTTGGTGAGGCGCGAGGCTTGGGCCTCGCCAGACCGCAACTCACGAGGCCTCGAGCTCGCCGATCTAGCAAGGCCCGGGCCTCGCCACCCTCTAGCGACGCTCGGGCTCGCCTTTTGCCAATCGGCAGCCTTCGTCGTGACCAGTGACCAAATAAAGAAGAAGAAAAAAGAAAAAGGGAAAAAACAAAAAAAAATAAAAATTTTAAATAAAATTTTAAATTTTAAAAAAAGTAAAAATGAAAATAATTAAAATGAATGGTGAAAGGAGGAGGAGGGAAAATGATTCCTCTATTTGAAAAGAGGAAATCATTTTCCAACTTTTGAAAGTGTTTTTTTCCATTGAGAGGAAATGTTTTACTTGACTAATTTATAAATGAACGCCGGAAAATTCAGAAAACATTTTCATGGAATTTGTTTTCCGGGAAACGAACAAAGCTTTATTTTCATATAGAGTTACACTTATCGTCAGGGTGTCTATAGTCGAAAAGGCCGTCCCAAAACTTCGGTGCCGCCGCTTGTTCCACAACCACCGGGCTCACGTATGATCCATTTTTCCATTTCATGTACCTGAGAGAGAAATGAGAACGTGACGACTGTTTTTCTCAATTAAGAAATATATACACAAGAAGAAGATGGATGGAGGAATTTTCTAACAAAGAGGAAAACTAGTATATTAACCTGTGCATTTGCATTGAAAGTTCTTACGTACATATTTGATGAAGACAAAGATTTTTATCTGTATAACATCACATCTCTTTGTTTTCACCTGATTATTGTTAGATTTACCCGTTTAAGTTATTCTTATTTTTGTTTCCTATCCGTACCGCCAACATAAGCGTACTTTCGAAATTATAGATATCCCAATTCCGAATTACTCTCGTCCATTCATAAAATTTCGAAGATTTTAACTTCACGATCACTTTTATTTATAATGATTTAGTAAACATTGCACGTGCATTTTACGTGCAACGAATGTGAAATGAGAAATATTTTCCAATTTCTTATGGGCAACCAGAAAATTATTGAGTTATAGTGAGTTATTAACGTGTTTTGAAGTGTTCATGATAAGAGTTTGATCTTTATCCAAAGAAGGAACTTCAACATAGGGAGATTTGTTTATGCATAAAGTTGTTGAAGTTCGAGTGCACCGGGGGATTCCACTTTGAGATGGTCTCCTCTCTTGAGGTCTCGAATTGACTTCTTCTATTGAAATATCACTTTTTTCTGTTCAATCTCATGCCGAACATCTTTAAGAAAACTGCAACCATGGATGGAACTATGAATGACCACCTCATACACTCAGATCGACACAATCTTCTCATCCTCAAAGAGCATGAAGAATCTATCTATCTAATATATATAGAAGAAGAAGGAAATGCCAGCTTCCGAATGAATCTACACTCAGTTTGTTTCGCGAAAGATAAATGGTTTGAAAAAAATATTTTCTTAAAAACGATCATTTATATCGCTTACAAAAATGAATAAACGAAAAATATTATCATTGTCCACGAAAATGTTTAAATATGTATTATTGTCGATAATGAAAACATTTCTTATTGATTAATTATTTGAAACGATACAAGTGATCATTTTTAAGAAAATGCTTTCCAATTCATTCATTTTTCGTTAAACAAATAGAGCCCTAGAGACAAGTAATTTTATAAAAATTACTAAGTTCATATGGCTATGCCACCAAAGCTTTTTTAAGCTTTTGCATCCAATCCACTTTCATTGTGTTCAAGAATCAACCATGTAACACTACCATGTAACACTAAGGGCACTATCATTTGATCATCCTCCGATTAATGATCATTTGATCCGAGTATTCCGGTAGCAGATCGGATAAGTCCCAACTCTGCCCATACTCTTTTTGGTGAGCAAAACCCTGTAAAATAGTTTGTAATAGTTGTAAACTCCGATTTTATCACCTAACAGGAAATATATTGTAAAATTTCAAGGACGGAAAATTCTCAAATTTTAGAGATTAAGGGCACGATAAAAGGACTATGATACTTTAAGATAAACCAAAAGTTATATGACGATTTTTGCTTCGTCGTTACTACAGGTAATTCCGCTACTTGTACCATACAAAAGGGGAAGAAAAAGAAAGTACGACGACCGACTTTCTAGCATTCATAGTTTACTTTTTGTTTTGGTCGAATTTAGCATTCATTGTTCAAGGGCCACGAAATTTATGAAATCGTCGATAATAGATAGCAATAGTTCCTCTACCCTAGTCCGCAACCTCTTGCCCCGATTATCATTCTCCACCTTTATAAAATTGGGTATGGACTAAGGGTGCGTTTGATTTGGCCTTGAAAGTACAAATTCTATCCCATCGACTTGTTTGCTTAAAATTGATACTCAGACTGAGCTCGAGTCAAGATAATATTGTCTAATTTCAAGGTTGAACGTTAGCAAGATTCTATTCTATTTAAGCTTGAACTTAGAAGCCAGGTATAAGATGGAAAACAGATTATACTATCTTATATATATTCCACTTTATTGGGCTTCAAATAGCTTTAGTAAAGTATTTATCAAAGTTGTGATCGAGTTAATAGAGTGCTCAAATTACTCGAGCTTGAAATTAATCGAATCGAGCTGAAGTAATTTACTAACCGAGCTTTACGATCTCCCAAAGAGTTAAGTTCCATCTTTACTATAACACACCATCAGTCCTTTCAAAGTAGTGATTAGTTTTGATCATCAACGTTAGGAATGTAATGCAAGTGAATCAGAAGAACAATTTATAGTAAATATAGCAACAGAGACAATAAAATCTTACAAACATCTCCACCATACAAACTTCCAACTACAACATGGTGCTACTTCAAAAGAATCTGTCTCAATGATGACTAAATTCACCATCTGCTCGTGTACTTTCATCCTACTAGTTTTTTTTTTCCTTTTTATGGCCACCAGTTTATAAACAAGAGAGCAAGCTATCCAACAAATCATTCCCCAAATCTTCAAATTCCACCACATCAAGTTCATCAATCCAGCGACTCTCTTCCATGCTCTCAATCCTCTTCAATGGAGGTCCCTCTTTCATCATCACCCCATCAAATCCCTCCCACTCCCTCGCCCTCTTTCTCGGGTTGATGATTTTCTCTTCGCGACTTGGTAACGCGTGATCACGGCCCCTTCCGGGAGAAATCGTGGCCAAGCCACCCGGAACTCTGTAACGGCAATCCTCGGGTATAGCCTGCGCAACTTGCTCAATTGGGAAGTTTAGATATGCCTTAGGCCCTCTAATACTTAGTGCTGCCTTGTCGTAAGCCAGAGCAGCTTCCTCTGCCGTGTCGAACGTCCCAAGCCAAACGCGGGCCCCGTTTCTCGATGAGTCCCGTATCTCAGCCGCATACTTCCCCCATGGCCGCCTCCTCACTCCCCGGTAGTGTCGCGCAATCGCCACCTTGCCCTCTGAGGAATTCACTTCAGCTTCGGAGCATGAGCCGCTTGTCCTGTCTTTAACATCTGATTGAGCCATTCCAGGGATGATTTCACTTAGGATCTCTTCCCAGGCTTCGGACCCCATTGACACCCACCTGCCTAAACTAGGCAGCCTTTGCAACATCCCCACCGACCCGGTTCTCGCGTCGAGACCAGGCAATCGTTCCCATGCTTCGGGCGGTTCTGATGAACTTTGGCCGATGAAACTCGCCCAGACATTTTCTAGGATTGCTTCGGATGCTGCGCAGTTTAGGTTTTTATCCATTTTTCAAGTCGGGTATCAAATCGCAAGCATTTGTATCTAGGATTGAGAAATGTAGAGCTTTTGAAATATGATATGGACGGCTTAAATATGTTCGATTTTTGGGATTGACTAACGGAGGATCCAGCTGGAAAAGCTTGTGCATCAATTTATTGATCTGCTAAAGTCATGGGGATTATGAGTACTGGGACACTACAGCAATGAAGGTTTACAATTTCTTTACAAGCACGGATCATTCCTTTGACTTGTGTGGTCTATTTAATCATATCTGATGCTCAATGTACGTGCAGATATCATCTTTTGTGTGGAGTGTAGAATATTATTATGCTAGTTCATGATTCAAACTACAAGGAAGGGAGTATCAGAAGGTATTGAAATCTGGGGTTGAGTAAGAGATCAGTCAGTCTGAATTGTTCAAACCTAGGTTTTGCCTCCTCATGCTAGCCAATGGGTTATGATTAAGTTGACTGGATAATTTTTCTTATCTTAGGTTGTGATTGTGTAATCCTGAAAAAGAGAGAGAGAGATGAGTGATAAGCATGTTTTGTGGTCTCTTCAGAGGTACTTTTCTTCACAGGGGCTTTGATTAATGTTATCCTGAGGTCAGGTTTCTTGTTAAGGTTCCAATATCTTATGATGTGCTTCCTTTGATATTTAATTAAACAGACATTCTAAGCTAGTTTTGGTTTTCCTAATTTCAACAATCAAGAAAGGGTGCATGAAACACCATGAAGATATGTTTAAGCCGTCGGTGTAATGCTGGAATAAAAATTAAATATAGCATGAGAGGAAAATTCTACTATTCGGTTTAATAAAAAGACGAATTTTCTTTCCGTGCTAGTAAATCTCTGAAGAAGTTAGGAAGTGTCAGGAAAATTTATGGTAAAACAAGGTATCAGTTACCAAATTTTATAGTAACTTGTTGGTAATTTACCGACACTTTTACAAAATTACAAAGTCTTTTTTATAGTATGCAAATTACAGATTTTTTTGTTATTATTTTACAAACTTTTTATCTGTCCTTCTTATCTACGTTTTAAATTTATCAACTCTTTCTTGAACTTACCAATCTTTATTGAAGTGATTAATGCTTTTTTTCCAAATAAATTACCGACTAATTCCAAGTTACCTAGATTTTTGACACTATAAAATGTCAAGCATGGCTGTGAGCAATCAACACCTCAACTCTTTTGTTAACATGTCACTCACTGTAATGTAACAAGCCAATCATTAATCAATCGAATATTCGCGTGTTACAGTAAATAAGCAATTACTATTTTTGAGTTTCAATATATTTGAACTTTAACGAGCAACACGTGGTATATCCGGGATGCCCACGAAGGTGTAGGTCCCATTTTTGCACGATATCAATTTTTTGAGAGTGCCCACTACTGTCCCATGGACAGGGTAAGACTAAGAGGTGAATGGACACCACATTTGTAACAATTACTGACTCCTCGATTTGAGTTAATTAAGAAACATCGAACATAGATTTCCTAGTACATAGAATAAGCGCACACGCTTTGATGATACCTTAAACAGTGGAATCGCCGGGAAAAATGGTTGGAGTCCGCTTGCTTGTTGCTCAAGAAGAAGTCATCGCAATCCATATATGCGGCGACACACATATTCAATGCATATTGGATTGGGATGAAAGGAAACGTTTGGCCATCGAGCCGGAAGCTATCATCCGAATTTAAGCATGTCAACGTTGTGACCGCGAAAAGTTTGCGGACTTTTACGTGTTCGATTTCTCCTTAAGCACCAGGACGAGATCAGATCCTTGCAAGTCGGAGATGTTTTTGACTTGTACCCCGAGGTTGGCTTAGTGGTTAGGGAGCCTGTATTGGAATGAGGAATACGCTTGGCGCGAAAGAATTAATTTTCTATATCGTCAAATGCCAAATTGAGAGGGGGATAATGACATAAATGATCATTGAACTTTTAGCTCAATGTGTAATGTAGTCTCTGAACTTTAAATTTGTTCAATATGATCCCTAAACTTTAATCCAATGTGCAATATTATTCATGGACTTTTAATTTGTTCAATGTGATTCCTGGATTTTTTGTACATGTTCAATTTAATCCCGGAATCATATGAAAATGTTCAATATTGTTCTTCCATTTAAGTTCAGTGACAACATTGAATATTTTCATACGGTTTAAGGATTAAATTGAACATGGACTAAATGTCTAAGGATCATATTGAACAAATTAAAAGTTCGGGGACGACATTGCATATTGAGTTAAAATACATGGATCACACTGAATAAATTTAAAGTTTAAACACCACATTGCATATTTATACAAAGTTCATGGATCATTTATGTCATTTATCCCAATGAAGAGGATCTGGTCCTTACTCACAGAAGAAACGTGTCTTCTGAGAAATGATGACCTATTTTTGAACACTTGACATTTGCTGGAAATTAACAATTACTGCCAACTTGTAGGAGGTGTTCTTTCAACTTCAATTGCTCATGGCACTAAATGATAATAAGATAGCTCTTAGGCCCAATGGCCAAGTGGGCTCCTTTCTTGGACTAATAGCCTAGGCATTGGCATGGGATTGTGTAAAGAGAAAATAAGAAGAAGAACAACACATAATAACGAGAAACTATTGCATTATCAAGAAACATATAGATCAAGTCCATCTCCATCATTAATTGTGTGGGTCTTATCGCGTTGTCTACATGATGAAACTTTTACATCAGAATTCAAATAATTCTTGTGCATCGGTATGAATCCGTCACAAACGCAATCGTTTCTTACGTGCAAGAGCCTATCGAAGTGCAAGTTAATTAGAACAGCCCGTAACAAGGAACATTAAACTCTTTTGCATTGTTCGACCAAAACAAAAAAACTCTTTTGGATTGAATGTTCAATAAGGGATGTGATAACTGACGAACATCACAGTACACTCTTTTCAACTCAATAAAACAACGAAGTCCGCAAGACAGTAGACATCACAACATAATGTAAACAACGTTTGACATTGCAAGCTTGCTCTTTCACCTCAAGACAGTCACGTGGTTTTTATCTTTCTTTTTCTCAAGACACAGACACACAAGGACTAGTGGACCGCATTAAACCATTCTGCTGGAGAGTTTCTCTTGCTTGCACATGACTAGAAATTCCAGGAGGGGTGTTTATAGACTTCTCTACACCTTAAACAACCAAGTTGTTCTTTCGCACATGAATAGACGAGTATCCACAAATCGACCGGTGCCGGCATTGATTTGCTTCCAAGACTATCTTCGACCTCGACGCCTATTCCTCTGAAGCTTTGCCATCTTGTCTCCGGAAAAATAACTGCCCGTCGATCGGTTCTGTCCATGACATCAAGAATATGCTCGCCCGCTCATTGACTCTCAATGATTCGAGCACGACATTCCATCGAAGCATAGGGAAACTGTTCATCTCCGGATGTGCTAGACCTTCGAGACCACGGTGGTTTTCATTTTGGTCGATCCCCGTGTCTCTAGGCCCGTAAGGACCCCTTGCGTCGTGGCACCAAAGCAGCGATAAAAGCTTTCAGGAGGCATCCCACCATCTCTCCACAAACTTGTCGAGCCAGTCAGATGACGACGCTCCGAGACCTCTTCGTTCTGCAGAAATCTTGGTCACTCTGGGTCCTTTCTTAAGCTGACATATAATACTGATATGACAATCACTTGCGAAATCCGTTGTAGTCTAGTTGGTTAGGATACTCGGCTCTCACCCGAGAGACCCGGGTTCAAGTCCCGGCAACGGAATTCCCTTTTTCTTTTTATTTTTTTATTTTTTTGGTGAAATTCGGGTCGCCAAGCTGGTTCGATCGGGTCGACCCGATTCCATCCCCTTCCGCGCCCCACGCTACGCAAAGCAATGGCGGGAAAACCACGACAAAGCTTCTTCCCTCATTCTTCGCTTTCAGTCCCATCTCTCGTCTCTCTCTCTCTCCCCCGCAATTCTAGGGTTTCAGTCGGAGTCTCTGCAAGCAAGCGAGAAGACCGGAGAACGACCGATGGCGAGAGACGACGACGCCGCCGCAGCCGCAGCCGACGGCGGCAGCGGCAGTAGCGCCAAGAGGAGCGGCAGAACGAGGGCGGGCGTCGAGGAGAACACCCTGGCGATCCTCGACGCCTTCGAGTCCAGCGACCCTCGCTACTCCCACGACGACCGTACGTCTTCCCCTTCCCACCCGGCCCGGAAAGTTCGCGCCTCTGCTTTTTGTTGGATCGACGATGCCGCCGGCGTGTCTTTGAAATCGGCGAAGTTTCTTTTTTTGTTGTTTCGACTTCTTGGCGCACAACGAGGTTCGGTGCTGATGACTGTGGTTGTTCGTTTTCTGGGAATTGGAAATTTTGATAGGGATTGCTTTCCTCGAAGCGGTTCGCGGCGCCTCGGTCGTCGCAGAAAACGGAACTCCTCCGACCAAGTAATCCCCCTCATTGACCCCTCTCTCTCTGCGATTGTCGTTGTGCTGGATGTTGAAATTGAGATGTGGAACGTGTTAATGTTAAGCTAAGCTCGACTGTCAATACTTTCAGTTCTTCGTAATCACCTTTCGGTTCTGTCTGGTGTCGTTCAGCTTGGTATCTTTCTCCGCACGACATTCGCGCTGCTCGTTACTTTTCATGAGTACCAGAAGTTTTGTGTCGATTTAATGGTTTGTTTTTGGCTTCCCTTTAAGTTGATTGTGAGTTTCTTTTTTGTTCGGGGGCGGCAACAGCAAGATGTTGGAGGCTGTCTTTCGGATTCTCAGGACGGGGGAATCGCTGCAATCTGTCATGGCGAGTTTCCAACTTCTTAATGAGTTGGACGAGGTAAGTGGGCGGCTCTCTGTATCGATGTGCTCGTTTTGGGATGACCCAAAGTTCTGATTTTGCTCTGTTTGCAGCGGTATCCTCGCGTGTGCTTGTCTGCTGGAGGTACGTCCGAATCATCTTCGGCTGCTCAACCTGAGCTTGAAGTGCTAGAGGAGGTATTAGTACTCTCTCTCTCTCTCTCTCTCTCTCTCCTCAATTGCTAAGGCTACACTTCTGTAACAGGCTTGGTCTCCCTTGTCTCTCGGTTCAGACAGTGCTTATAGTGGGAGAGCAGCAGTTAACGAAAACCCTTGTGGACCAGTTGACCCC